CTACGCCTGGTTCCGCACCCGAGCTAATTTCGGCTTCTTCTGGTGGGCCGTCGGCACGCAGCTCGTGCTCGGCAACGTGCTGTCGCTCGCCGGCTACGCGTTTGTCCTGTGGAAGTTCTTCTCCGGGACGCATCCGCCACGAGGAGGAGCTGCTTGTTCGGTTCTTTGGGAGGGAGTATGAGGAATACCGACGTAGGGTCGGCACCAGGATGCCGTTCTGCGGGTGAGGGGAAGCCTATTCCTTTTTGTCTCAAGGTGGACGTGTGAGGGCTGATGTATGTATCTGCTGGACGTGTACAGAACGAGCGTTACATAGAGTAATTGGAGGGTGGCGGAGGCGTAGGCTGGTAGGTGGCATGTGTGAATAGAACGGAACGAGGAACATGGTCAATTCACTTCTGGGCAAGCAAACACCTGCTCTTGTCTATTCAAATCTATATTTTGGTCGCGATTGTCGAGTCCCCTCGTTGTTCACAATGTCCCCGGCGTCGTGAGCGCCATCTGCCGCGACACGCTCCCGTACTTGGCCTGCCACGCGTAAAAGTACATGAGTGCCGCAAACGGCTGGCCCAGGATGGTGAAGGATATCCAAAAGATGCAGTTGCCAATCATACGGCCCGTCGGCGTCTTCATCTTCTCGAGTGGCGTCGTGATGGCGATAAGCGGCAGCTGCAGCAACATGCCGAGGAATGCGACACCTAGCTCTGTTAGCATGTGTTTGTTTCCCCAGAGCCCATGACAAACCAGACGTACCAATTATGTTGTGGGTCGGGACGCCGACGAGCACCTCGTGCAGCACGGCCGAGAGAAAAAAGACGGCGACGCTCGCGACAAAGGGGCTCCACCCGCGCCCGACCATGGGCGAGTAGATGTGGCGGCGGAAGTACTGCGAGACGGGCTTGTTCCACGTGCGCCAGTAGGTGCCGAGGCTGGGGCTGTTCCACCAGTCGTCGTAGAAAGACCTGTCACCGAAGCGCATGACCTCGGCGAGGGCGTTGAGGAACGACTGGAACAGGGCGAAGAAGCCGGCCAGCCAGATGACGAGGGAAATGGTCGACAGCTTCATGAGGCGCTCCATAATGTTGGTAATGTCAAGAGAGGCAATCTTGTCGAGCGAGTTGAGAAGAACGGGCGCAGCATACTGCGCGCTTGCAAACCAGATGAAGACACTCAGACAAAAGACCTCACCCAAGCGTTTGGCGACGAAAATCCACCGAATCTTCTCGGTGCGTGGGTAGGCGGGCTGGTAGACGAGGGTGGGCGCCCACCAGAAGTACACGAGGTTGCTCATCGTGATGTTCTCGGGGTAAGGGCACTTTTGGAAGATCTCGGGCATGGCGTCGAGTTCACCCTTAACGGGATGGAGATAGGCGTGGCGAAGTTCGCGTTTGTTGAAGGCGTACGAGGACGTCTTGAGCCAGACGATGACGGCGTGGAGCTCGGTCAGAGTGCCGATCA